TCTCTGTTTTTGGTTTTTGTTTTTTTGAAGTAAGGTCTCCCTTTGTAGTTCAGCCTGGCCCTAAACTCACTGTATAGCCCAGGCTGGCCTCAAACTCACAGTGATCTTCCTGCCTCAGCTTCCCGAGTGCTGGGATTACAGGCATGTGTATCACAATCTTTTGATAGCAGACCAAAGGATTTTTCTAGATCCTGAGAGCCTGAATCTAGATGGAGAGCTTGAATCAGCTTATACCACTTTCCTGTTTAAAACCCTCCAGTTTGGGGTCTCTTTCGTAAGAAAATTCAACACCCCCCACTCCCCCCACCGCAAACTTCAAGGTTCTACAGGATGTGTCCTCTACTAACTCTACCCTGGTTTCCCATTCCTCTTTTCTTCTCTCCCTCCACTCTGGCAGGCTGCACCTGCTTTCTTGCTTTCTTGCTCCCCCTTTACATTAGCTAATTCTTTCCTCAGGCCATTCCACTAACTAGCTGTCTTCTATGTAGAATGCTCTTTCCATGAATTTTCATACGGCAGGCTCTCTCCTCTCTCTCCAGCTATCCAGTCATTTGTTCCCAGTGACAGTTATTGGACGGACAACTTGCCTAAAATAGCCCTCACCTCATCATTCTCTGCTCCCTTGCCCTGTTTTGTTTTAATTTATCACCCTTGACCTTACATTAGACATTGCTGTTATCCTTATTAGAAACAAAGGGTACACAAAGTCAGAGAGACAGGGATACATCCAAGTGCCTAGAACTGCCCAGGAATATTCAACCAATGTTTGTCAAACAAATGAACAGCACTTGGAGAGAACCAGGCACACATTACCCATCTTCACCCCAGAGAGATCAAAGGTGCGTCCCCGCCCCTCCCAGGAAGAACCTGTCCTGTAGCCTGAGACACAGCTGACCCGAGTCCTGAGAAGTATTGTCCGGTAAAAGACATGTCTTCCTTTGTCTGAAGGTGGGGCACAAGGTATCTGGGTCAAAGGACTGAGGCAGTGGTTTGGAAGTCTCTCTTGACAGCAGGTGTCCCAGTGGCCCAGCCAAACGTGTTGGACCAGTTTTGCCTCCCTTGGAGAAGAAAGAGTGGAGGTGGCAGCTGCAGGTGCTCCTAACCCCCACAGCTGCCAGAAGTGACCCCTTGGCTCTCAGGGCCTGGAAGGCCATGTTCAGGAAGGTCAGCAGGTTCCACCTCGGGCTGCTTTGGTTTTGTTGTTGTTTTGTTGTTGTTTTGTTTTGTTTTGTTTCGTTGGTACTGGGGATCAAACTCTGGTCCTTGCGCTTTCAAGGCAGCACTGAGCTAACCCAGCCCCCACCTCAGGGTTCTTGATGTACACTTAGACGTTGAACCTGGAGTCCAGAGAGGGAAAGGGTCTCACTGAAGCAAGGCTGCCACCGTCCTTTCACTAATTCATTTAACAGACGTTTATCGAGCTCCTGTGATGTGCCTGGCATAGTTCTAGGCATTGAAGATAAGTGGTAAACAAAACAGTGATCTGTGGCAATCCCTGGAGGAGGTGGAAGATAAACAACAAACAAGTAAATTAGTAAGTTATATAATATGCTAGAGGGTGAGGAGTCCTGTAGAAAGGAAAAAGCTGAGGAGGGGTGGTTTGAGACGTGTGGGGCAGGGCTGGTGTGTTTAAGGAGAGCAGAGAGGCCATTGTGGCTGAGTGAAGTGTAGGAAAGGGAGAAGGCAGGTTGGCCTGGGAGGATCATGACCCATCAATGAGGGACCCTGAAAGGACTTTGGCTTTTACTCTGAGGGACATGGAGAGCCATTGGAGGGGTGTGAGCAGTACATTAACTGCATCTAGCATATTTGGTAAAGGACCTCTCTGGTTGCTGTGTGGAG